ACTGTCCAATGACAATTTTGGTAGAAGGTGGCCATTTTGAAAAATGGCCGCCATTTTAAGGTATTTTACTATAACTCGAAAAGGAGTGGAGCGATTTTGTTTATATTTGGTATGTGAATACTAAAAGCATGGTACACTGTCTAATGACACTTTTGGTAGAAGGTGGCCATTTTGAAAAATGGCCCCATTTTAACGTAATTCACTATAACTTTAAAAGTAGTGGAGCGATTTTGTTCATATTTGGTATGTTTCATATTTTATATGTGAATACTATAAGCATGGCACACTGTCTAATGACACTTTGGGTAGTAGGCGGCCATTTTGAAAAATGGCCACCATTTTTACGTTTTTTACTATAACTTGAAAAGTAGTGAAGCGATTTTGTTCATATTTGATATGTGAATACTTATGAGCCTTGCATACTGTCTCATGACACTTCAGATAGTAGGCGGCCATTTTAAAAAATGGCTGTTATTTTTACATTTTTTACTATAACTCGAAAAGTAATGGAGCGATTTTGTTCATATTTGATATGTGAATACTTTAAGCATGGCACATTGGCTCATAAATCTTTGGGGAGTAGTCGGCCATTTTGAAAAATGGCCACCATTTTTATGTGTGTTATTTTACAAGTACATTTGTGTGATTTTTCAAAAATTTTATAGGTGGCTACTTAAAAGCATATTATTTCTTCTGATGACAACTTGGCTAGTGAGCAACCATTTTGAAAATGGTGGCCTTTCTGGTGTGTTGTTTTATGATATTTGCTATATATTTCGTTTGTAAAAATGCCAGTCATTTCTGTTCGATGGGATTCGCTACGCTTTGGCGTTGCCGTTGTTCTGGTTGATTTTGTTCGCAAAAGTATGTGTTTTCTGTTGTATGTGGAAAAGTGGAGGACGAAAGGTTTTCAAAATTCATTAAAATAGGGCTAATTTACGCCATTCGCCTATTTTCAAGCACAGCAACACGTATATTTTTAATTCATAAGCTCAAATATCGCTAAATGGTGTGCTCAATGTTATGTCAATGGGAAAAAATATTTTTTTGAAGTGTAAAATACGAGATATAAACTGAGTACAGCTTAACATAATGAAAGCCTATGAAAGAAGGGAACCTAGAAGGCTAGCTTCAAAATTTGGACACCAAAATCCCTAGGTCAAAATCTAGGTAAAATTTTCTCAGAAATCCGAATCTGCAAACCAAATTTCAATCCAACTCCCGGTTCGGAAGTTTTGGCGTTTTGAAATCTCGAAAAACCAATATGACGATATCCCTGTGCTAAGTCAATGGGAAAAATGAAAATACATGAATTGAAAAATACCAGATACAGACTGGATTCAAATAAAATTAGAGATGAACTACAATAGTTAGAGGACCAATAAAGCTAACCTAATTCAAAATTTGGACACTTGAATGCCAAGGTCAAAAATTAGGTCAAATCTATGATTTTTCTTGTTTTTACTATCTTGACACTGCACTTAAATATTTCTTTTTGAAATTTAGTATACAGATAGCCAAGAGTATGCTAATAGTGTCAGCATTTTGCCGTCAAAAGGTATTTTGACCTAGTTTTGAAATAAAATGCCCAGAAAGTAGGTCAACAAAAAAATCTTCATATTTATTGTTTGAGGAGTCAAAATAATGGTAAATTCTCTCAGAATTCCAAATCTGAAAACCGAATTGTAATCAGACTACCGGTTTAGATTACACGCCATTTTGAAATTTCGAAAAAATCAATATATCATGGTAACGTGGTAGAAAGTCAGAAGAACCGAAGAAGATATTGAAAAATCAATCCATGTATCTATTTATTGATCCATTAATTAATTATTTATCTGTTTATTGATCTATTTAATTATCTATTTGATTACCTATTTTATCTATTTATTTTTCTCTATATATATATCTATTTATTTATTTTTTATTGATATATTTATCAATTTATTCATCTTATTATTTATTTATTTATCTACTTATTCATTTATTTATCTATCTATCTACTAGCTTTATCTATTCATTAATTATCTATAAACTAAAAACAAATCTGTTATCTGGAGTCTGAAATTGAACTTGTTCAATTTCTAAAGTCTAGTTATGAATTATTCCAATGACTAATTAATCTTATTCTTATAAATTAATATTATTAAGTTTTTTTTAAGATCAAATGAACCAATAGTTTTCACAATCTTCAAAAATTTAGCACAGTGGGTCTTGATTACTATCGGTAAAAACAATACATCGAATGCCAATCGTTTTAACATTTATTGCCACACATATACAATGCTTGCTCTTGTTTTCATCTCACCAAAAAAACATTTTCAATATTTAAAATGTATGCCAATTCGAAAATTTCTTCCATCATCATTTACTATTTAAGCCCAAGTTAATTTTGTGATGATACACTTCCACCGAAGAAAACTTATTTCGCATATCCACAAAGGACAAATAGAATACTACAATCCCCTCCATAAGTTTGGCAACCTTTTTTCCCCCATTGAACTACGTGTTAAAGCCTCTTTACCTTTGAATTTTTATTTACTTAACCTGCGATGAAAATACTTATACTATTGATGGAAACGTAATTTGACTCTAATTCCAATACCTCCAAATTTTCTCAATTTTTTTCCTCAATTACAGTAGGTCGAAAATTGATGATGAATTTGATGAATTTTTGAGAATCGACATTTCCATGTTAACCAAAGGGAAATGGTAGATTTGCCGCAAGTCATATGACAGAATATCCATCCATCCGAGTCCTTGCAAAAAATACGAGTTAGGCAGGTAATTGAATTTGCTAACTATTTAACAAAAAATTGATATGTTTCTTCTGGTTCAACAAAGTTATAGGGCTTTAAAGTCAAAATTGTTTTTCAAAAAACCTCTCCCATTGAAATAACACAGGAGGCGAAAAATTCTTTTCAAAAATGACCTTGAAGCGCTGTAACTTTAATATTCATCAAATAAACTAAACACTTAGTGTTCAAAAAAGTTAGACAATTCAATTTTCTATATGAAAATATTTTTTGCTGAATCTTTTACTGAAAAGATATCCTGATTTCTGATTTGCCCCGAACCCTCCATTTCCCATTGGATTACATGGGAATGACGATTTTCAAAAATTTATCAAATTTATCATCAATTTTTCGACCTATTGTAATTGAGGAAAAAATTGAGAAAATTTGGAGGTATTGGAAATAAAGTCAAGTTACGTTTCCATTAATATTATAAGTTATTTCATCGCCGGTTAAGTAAATAGAAATTCAAACGTAAAGAGGCTTTAACACGTAGGTCAATGGAGAAAAAAGGTTGCCAAACTTATGGAGGGAGTGTAAAATATGGGAAAGTAAACCGCAATTGTTGTATTTTTGGTGTTCACTAAGCGTAAGTATTGACACTAGGTCTCCCTTATCTACATTTTTTACCAATTTTTCTAGATTTTGCACATATTATCTGGCCTGAAATAATGAGTGCACAAATTTCACGCCTCAAGAATGAAAATAGCTAATTTTATCATGTACATTTTGATTTGGTAACATGGCCCTTGACACAGAAAATATGACGTCACATTTTACATTAATTAGGAATCTTTAATCCTGAGCATACCCCTTCTGCAAACGATATAATATTTAATATTTTGATATAAGATAAGATATTTCACTTTTTGTGATTTTATAACATGGGGTCTTTGGGAAGTCTCCCCGTAAAAGAAGTCACATTTTCAAAAAGTTTATAAACAATTTAACAACTAAATAGTTAAAGAACAATAAATTGCATGTTTTCGTTTTCCCCATCGTTCTTTCATCATTTTGTCTGGGTCATCTTGACTTATAGCAACTAGTTCGGGTTGTATGTGTTTGTAATTAGAGGCCGATGAATATGTTATTAACTCTATAGTACCCCTAGTATACTGAGTATATTGTATGATTGTGTAGTATAGTGTAAAACCAGGGACCCAGTGAAGGCTTAAATACCGTCAATAATATAGAGTAAAGTATTAACAGATGTTTCATAGTGATAGAGATTTAGCGTTTATGGACTAATTGATCATATGCATTATATTTTCTAATATCTAATTCACAGAGAGCGAAACTGAGTAACGTCCTTGTTGCATTGTATAAACGTCCTGGTTGTTTAAGTGAGGGAATTTATTGGAACCGCTGGGCATAAATATGCTTGTGACAGACTAGCTTTCCAGTAACCAGAGCTTACGTCTACTCATTGTTAAAGATAAATGGAATACAAATCGACCACTTTCTAGGTAGAAATGATGAAAAATGGAAATATTACCATTCTCTGTCGGCGGAAGTCCTTATATTTTGTGGGCCGGGGTTTATAACTTTTGTATATTTTTGTTCAACATTATACGTATTTAGCCACACAAACTTTAAACGGTATTCTGCTGTTCGAACCTATTTATTTTCATTTTCCTTATCAAACATGTATTTCTTTTCTATTCAAACTGTTCGGCATTCGCATCTTTTACAGGCTTTGCAAGAATTGAAGTAATCTGCATGATCTGTCCCATGGAAGCGTTGATTGAATCAGCATGGGTGTAGTAATACATCATAGCGCGCATGCTCAGATTACCGAATTTGTCGAACTGTTTGAATATAAAAATGGTTTCCTAAGTACAATGTTGATCACTTTTGGAAGATTTTGGTTGGAACTTTTTTTGTATCATTTTGGTTGTCATTGGCTTTGGTGCCATTGGTTTTAACCTTTTGATAGAAAATTGAATGAAGTATACTTCATATAGTTTTGATTTTTTTTGTTTCAACCATTTTGAATGTTGAAAATTGGGGTACCATTGATCTTCGAATCTGAATCAAGTGCGCAAAATTGCTCGCACTTTATAACTATTTGGTCGTAACACAATTCCAATCATAAAGCCCCTTGGGTCACATGATGGACATCTGGTGCCCTCTTGTGGAAGAAAATCAAACTTCTGCAGCACCGCAGTAAAGAAGAGGAATAATCTCGCACGAGCTAACTGTTCACCAATACAAACACGTCTTCCTGCGCCAAATGGCATCAGCCTATAACAGATGAATGTCAAGTTAAGTAACAGCAAGAACGTAGTTTTTTGAATATGTCAATTTTTATCAGCTATGATAATGTCGAGTCAACTATGATTATGTCAAGTAGAATCAGATGCAAGCATCTCATCTTACATCTTTCTTTGATCGACTGGAATAACATCACCGTTTTTGTCAAGGAAACGTTCTGGTTTAAATATCCATGGATCAGCAAAGTGTCGCTCGTCGTGGTGAAGTCCAAACAAATTCATCCAAATCTGGATATAGAGCATGCACATATTGTAGTAAAACTATAGCAATACTTAAAATGAAGTAGTCACCATCATTGTACAATCTTTGTTGCCTTATTGAAATATGTTAAAGCACAAACTCAGTTTATACTTGTACCTGGGTATCCTTTGGAATAAAATACTCTCCTAATGATGTATCCTTCGTGGCTTTGTGTGGCGCTGCAAGCGGGACGTTGGAGGTATAGCGCAATGTTTCTAAGATGAAAGCATCAACGTATGGAAGGTTGTGTCTGTCGTCTAATGTGGGAAACCTAATAATAGAATATATAGGAGGCAGTTGACAGATCTTTATGATAATTTCACATCTTACTGGTCTGTTCAAACAGAATGTATTTTCGAGGATAAAACTACCATGTATGATCCTTGGGAATTGTCAAATTATGATTTTGTTGATGCATAAATTACCGTAGCTGTTTTGCAGTCAGAATCTATTTGTAAGGATAAACTAGCATGTATGATTCTCCTTAGGACTTTTCAAATTATGATTTCGCTTGTGCATAATAACTGTTTTAACAATCAGAATATATTTTGGAAGATTAAACTAGCATATATGATTTTCAGTTAAAATGCATATTAGAGTGAAATAGAATATTATATATATCAACGGATTAAAGATAAAAGTGGGACTAACAGAAATAATTCTCGTTTACCTTTCTCTCCCAAGCTTGGCGTCGATAGACATTTGGATTTTCTTTTGAATATCCGGATAGTTCATCAATATAAGAATCCCTGTTTCAATGATGCTCTCTGTTGTTGTGATGCCTATTATAAAAAATAACGTCTACATTTATATTCGCTCGAGCTGACTGATAAAGGTTATTACAACTAAATTTTTTATACACCACATACGGTACTTGGACCACTATTATTTATTCTTTACATAAATGATCTGCCTTTTGTTGCCCCTAATCTAAAATTTATTATGTTTGCTGATGACACCAATCTTCTTGATAGTGATTATGATTTAAATGAACTTATGACTAGAACTAATGCAAACTTGAATTCAATAGATGACTGGATAAAAGCAAACAAACTTTCACTTAATATTGGCAAAACCAATGCTATTCTATTTGGACCCCAAAAAAATCAAACAAATCTGAATCTTAAAATACGCAATGAGAACATAAATTTCCGGGAAAAAATTGACTTTCTTGGAATTATTATTGATAAAAACTTGAAATTTAAAGAGCACGTAAAATCTGTTGAAACAAAGATTTCTCGCGTCATTGGTTCTCTTTATCACATTAAACATCTACTTCAAATAGACAGTTTCAAAACAATTTACTACTCATTGATACACTCTCAATTAAATTATTGCAACATAATCTGGGGTAACACATTTAAATCATTTTATGATCGTCTACATAAACTGCAGAAACAATTCTTAAGGCTAGCTTTAAATAAGGATAGACTTTCTCACTCCGCTCCCCTATTTAAAGATCTTAGAATATTAAATATTTTTGATGTCAACAGATATTGTACTGGTCAGTTCATGTACAAAATCTTTAATAAGCACCCCAGTCTTCCAAAAAATCTATTTCAAGACTTGTTTGATATCAACATTTATATTCATCATCATTACACAAGACAATTACATTATTTTCATATCCCTAAATGCTCCAAACTTTCCCTTCGCTATCTGGGTCCTAATCTTTGGAATGCTCTACCACATGATATTAAAAAATGCTCCACTCTAAATATTTTCAAATCTTCATATAAAAAACTACTCATCTATCGATAATGTATAATACCAATTTCATACTATACTGTTGATTTTATACTGGTACCTATTTTTGTAACATTTTTACATTGTACATCCTTAGATTAATTGTTAATACCATTTTATATACCTACATGTAACATAATATAAGTGTTTTCTTTTATATGTAGTCTAGTTGTCATTTTAATGATTTCTGTTAAACCGCAACATATACCCACTAGGGTGTCTAGCGGCTTGTTTTTATAGTGTATATTATATAAGAATTATGAAATAAAAAATTGAATTGAAATCATTTAAATTGAAATTGAAATCATTTACATCCTCTGTATACAATCGGCCTCATGTGAGCTTTTGCACGATTCAGTTATTCATTATGGATGCTATTATGAGTCTGATCGGTTGTTCATATTGCTGTGAAATGACATGGTAGAATATATCTGCAAAGTTGTATACCTGCGTGTAGAAGATTCTGTATCATCATTCGAACATTGGTATCAGTGATGGTTGGGTCGTTCTCTTGCGATACTAGTAACCAATCGACCATACCCCGGATCCTGCCTTTCTCCATCGTATCCTAAAATGTATATGTGACCCAACAAGAATGATTTTTAGGGATGGAAAATTGTAACAGAACACAGTCAGTAAAAGAAAAAGAGTACACCAGTGATATGAAAAACAAAACCAAACTATCCCAATCATAATCTAACGTTAAAAGAAACAATTATCATAATTAATAAAACAAAGGGACATTTCATTCATACAAAAGTATTTGCCATTCAATGTTGAAGAAAATTAATTACCAATACAATAGACAATACTGTTAATGATTTTATAGATATACCTTTGAGACGAGAATCCATCTATCATACAGCTCATTTCGAATAGTAATGAAATGCTCTATTGTTTTGTACGTACTGTTCCCAAAGAACCGAAGCCAAGGGAAATAATCAAGCTCCATTCCTTTCCCTACTCCAACTGCTCTTACGATAGTTTCATCCAGCTCTGCAATAGTCTTGATCTCATCTTCGTCTCTCATAGCCTCTCCAAATAACTGAGAACAATGATAGTGTCGATAATGATAATTTGGGATCTTATTTGTAATTATTTATTAATATTAATTAATTAATTATTTGTTAATAAAATATTTCAATTTTGAATAATTTTAAGTATTTTCCGAAAATGCCAGAAAAACGATAAAATATCACATTTATAGACGTGTCGCAAAAAGGTGGCGCATTTGTTTTTTAAGGGTATCGCGTGAATGTAACTTTGATTCCCCGGATTATAAGATAATATTCTAATTAAAGTTATATATCATTTTAAAGCTGTTTCGATGAAGATTTTAGATCAACTACACTCCGTTCACATTTTTTGCGCGTTCGTTTTTAAAAAAGAGTTTTAAACATCTGGCAAATATCCCATGTTGACACGTTACATTTTGAATTATTTTTCGTCTTTAAACGCTCATAACTCAAACAATATATGACTATTATACTTATTTTTCGTCTTGATAAAGATAGATGGAAGTTTTATTTCAAAGGATGAATTTTAGTAAGCGTCCCATATTGTGACGTCATAGAGTCTGAAAAATAGAATCTGTTGACAGCGACCTTTTTTGCTCATTTTTTGGTACCTTCAACTTTTCAGGTGTACATTAAACAAAAAATACGAGATCAATTTTTAATAAATCATACATGATTATTTTGCTCCTAAACTCTAGTTTATTAATAAATAGTTGATTTTGTTCACAAAAGTATGTGTTTTCTGTTGTATGTGGAAAAGTGGAGGACGAAAGGTTTTCAAAATTCATTAAAATAGGGCTAATTTACGCCATTCGCCTATTTTCAAGCACAGCAACATGTATATTTATTTCACCTAAAATATCAATTGATTCGTGTTTTATGATGCTCCTAGCCCATTAACAATATATATATGATATCAGAGTTATTCGTCTAAAATGTTTTGAGATAAAGAGGTAAATGTGGAGGACGAAAGGATTTTCATGTGTGTACATTTTTCTCAAAAACGTCACATTCTATCATGTTAAAAGCGAGGATCCTCTGGATTACGCCACAAAATGTGTAACAATGCGTGCGCGAGCTTTTTGCTACACGTCATACTGAGATAACAGCATTGAATTTCCACTCTATGCAGACTGTGCTATTCGAAAACAAGCGGTGTGGAAATCATGTGCGCAAGATGCGGTCGATATTAACGGTCATTATTGAATTTGATTTCGTGATGTTTCACCAACTAAGGCATGTTGGGTACTCAATCATATTCATACATCTGAACAGGTTCCCTAATAAAATGGAAATTGTGTGAATAGGCGTGTAGTTCGTTCTATAGCAACACATCAAGCAATAATAGTATCTTCAAAATGCAAATAATTGCATCTGTTTCACAGCACAGACAACATTCATTCAGTATTAGTGATCGAGATGACCAATCAATACAAATTATATTTGCATTTTGAATGTTGAAAGATTTCTGTGTGTTTTTATGCAAAGTGGGAAACATTAAAAAAGATGTGCTACCTCTAAACAAGTGGTGCGGATATCCACGGATATCCGTAAAGTGACGGATATTTATACCGTGTGTTCTGAGGTAGGACATATCCGTTAAATGTTTCCAGTTTTTTAAAAATGCACACAGAAAGTTTATGACTTTCAAAATGTAAAAATAATTTTATCGATTGGTCATCTCGATCACCAATACTCAATGAAGGCTGTAAACTGTAATAAACCAGCAATTTCAAATTCTTTGATATGGAGCAAGGATGAATGATTAGTTTGTTGTTAAAGAATGAAGAATACAACTATAGACAGCCTTGCGCACATGATATCTGCACCGCTTGTTTTCGTATAGCACAGTCTGTATAGTGTGATCTCGCCCTACTTAAATGCATTCTATCTCAGTATTTAAAGGCACGTACATTAATTCAGAACCAGAGACCTCATATTTATTGAGATATCGCTGCTTTCCGTTTCAAAAATTGATGTTCATCAGTCAAATTCAATGTGATGTTCTTCGATCAAATTTTTTAAATACATTATCTTGGATACTAATCTGCATGTTATTTTGTGTTGTTATAAATCATTTGCTTCTAGGTGTTTTATGATTCTTTCTTAACCGAGATTGCACTTCTATTTGATCTATTAAAAATGGTGTGACGTAGCCAACGTGCTGAAGACAATGTTTATGCTATAAATCAAGCAATAATGGACTACACGATCTGTAATAAATACTTAAAAGTGACGTTATTATTACAAAATTAATGGCATTGCTGGTTTTGGAAAACAAGTTTCCATACGTTAGATAATAAAGTTTGAATGGGGGGGGGGGGTGTATGGAAGCAGGGGATGTAACATGTATTTCAGGCGGATGAAATTTACACGAATTCATGTATAAAAAATCAATATTGCAGATTTGTTCAAATTTCTTGCAGAAATAAACTACCCCTCCCCTCCGTTAATTTCATAGATCATAGGGCGTGATTATTATGTCCCTTGCTTACCACCTTCGTTTCTCCGAATTCTCATCAGCTAGTTTCCGAATATAACTCGTCGTTGTGATGTTTTACTCGATGCGAACATATTCCTTACATCTTCCTTTATCTTGATGTGAAATAAAACGTTATAATATCGGTTAACACGCCAGAAATCGACATATTATTATTCGGAGCGTTTTTAGATAATTTTGAAACCGCTCATTTGTCTGTTGATTTGACCAATCAGCGACCATGTCAATTCTTAATACAGATTTTAATTATAGACATATATCTTCTCTGAACCCTGGGTGTTTCTCCCTCTTGAATTCACTATTATCTAATTCTGAAATGTCATGATGTTATCATAAATCACTTTTTAAGTAAGTTGAAAGTCTTTGTGTACTTTTTCGTATTAGGACATCATAACATTTTGATAACGCGTATATGACTTAAATAAGAATTGTCTATGCTTAAACAAAATGTAAGATCGAGTGAATTAGAAATCAGATTAGCAATCAATGATCATGACACTATCGTATTTGGACGGGGATGGGGGAAGATCATTCACTTACGAAGAGCCTCATAAACTGCCTTCGATCACATGTATGTTACAACTGGGGTTTGGCAGGGGACGTTTTGTTGATAGCTATCTTGATACCTTTAGTTGTATTCTTGTTAACACATGTTTACAATCCAAACCAACCCTTAGGTATATGGATATGGGTGTACGGCGGCCGAAGCTTCACAAAATCGATATAGAAAATTTACATAGATTGATTTTAACTGCTTAACTGCTTACATCTTATGCTGCATATTTCTCTCGATTTTGGGGAGCTACGATCGCCGTACGGTTAGCGTAGGGCAAACATGAATGGGGAATTACCATTTTAGTAAGGATCTTTATGATGCACCTGTAAACGTCATCTCGGGGATCGAATGGAGAACCTTTCTTGTCCTCAACTAATTTCAAAAATCCCTTAATCTCATTAGCGTTTACTTGTTCGATACGAGCCATTCCAGTTCCGTACTGTTTTAATCCACTATGAGCTATCTTCCTTCGTTTTTTCTGCTCTGGACCATTATCAGCCATTATAATATCTTCGCACATCTCTGTCATCCAAGCAAGACGGTTCAAATATGGTCGCCCTGCAAAATCATCGCCACGTTTAACAAGAGCTTCATAGCATGACTCCCCATTGATGACGATGATATCCTCTCCTAAAAGGTTTATTTTAAAGACATCCCCGTACTCCTTCGCCCATTTTGCAATTTGTACAGGTGAATGTTTCATGTTGAATTCTAAGGTATTTCCTAGTAATGGCCATCCCTTTGGTCCTGGTGCATCGGTCCTCGATTTGGTTATATACCGTATGATCAGATAAAGAAAGTAAATTGATACAAATCCTAAGGGAACAAACTGAAACATGATTCAACGTCAATACCATGAATTGAAAAAGTAAATTCAAGACGTCTTGTGTTGTGTATTTTTGCAAGTTGTTGCAGTTGTGTAGACCTTTAACATCTTTTTTGATTTTGTCTGGGTCATCTTGACTTATAGCAGCTAGTTCAGATTTTGTGTTCATAATCTGATAGCAAGGAATATGTTATATAAATTGTTCATTCTCCGATTACAGGGCTTCAAAATCCAGAATATATTCTTTCTTTTTACCCCCTGCGATAAGCAGTTAGCATTTCCCCGATTAAGAACTCGCAATCTGATTGGCTGTCGCAACACTGCGACAGAAATCATGTATAAGTCATTGCGCATAATTAGATCACATAATTCAGTTTCATCGGGCGCTTCCAAATTGTTTATAGTAGGGGGACGGAAGGAGGTACGGATTCTGGATACCTGCTTAGGAGGATGTAAATTGTTAAGCCTCCGTAGTGTACCGAGTAATGGATATTGTATATGCAGACTGAGTGTAATGTATAGAACCTTGTACCCAGTGAGGTTTATAAAGAAGGGCGAATGCTGGAAGACCCTTAAACAACTTAATAGCCAGAAAAAGCGATGGATTCTGACAAGTTATCGTTTACATGATTGTCCCTTTATCATTTTGTCTGGGTCATCTTGATGTATTACAACTCGTTCAGATTTTATGTTCATAATCTGATACCGAGGAATAAGTTATATAAATTGTTAAATAGATCGCAACTAGTTTAGATTGTGTGTTCATAATCAGAGACTGGTGAGTATTTAATAAACTGTTAAGTACCACTAGTATACTGAGTTATGTACAGGTTGTCAAATGGACACATTTTGAACTGTGAGTATGACCATTTTAAACAGCCTACCACGGCTACTAGTCTAGCTGAACAAGTTAAAAGAGTACAGAAAAGAGAAATGTCTTTCACGAGAGATCTCAATGCATATTGTGGTTCTTGTGCAGGACATTTTTGGAATATTTGTTGTTTGCAACTTCAGTTTCCATATAATGCTCTGTTTTATCCATTGATATTAGCTCGATCTACTCTGCAGCATCCAAGTCGGAGGTGTTGCTTGGGTTATACCAAAAAGGTCTATGCAAGATTCATTAAAAATCAAGAGAAAGAGCAGT